CTTATTTCACATTTACTTGTTCAGTATTGATAGTTAAAATACGCATAGGAACAGACATTTTTTTTATGTCGACGTCGCACGCGATTTTTAGAAGAGACAGCGCCAAAATTATCTAGTATATTGTATTTATAATCTGTTTTAGATACAGAATCACGGTGGTTTTAAAAAAAAAAATTGTGACATTTATTAATATTTATAATTTCCATAAATAATGAAATTGTTGACTTATCTAACATCTGTCTAACAGAAATAGAAATAATGACCGTTGTGTGTGTATTATTTGAAAATGAATACATATTGCCTTTTTAGGATTTATGGCACGTATTCTGCGTATCATCATATGTAATCTCTTGACAATTTCTCGTTTTTCTTTAGAAACGAACATCACGATCGATACAACGTCTGTGATAATACGCCCCAATGGTCACACTGTATACGAATTCATCTGGACGACAATATAGAACATTAAACCTTACCCGCTTCACATTTCACTTCAGGTCAACAGTTTGATCTATGCTTAATGATAACATTTTTGAAAAGACATTTTTGAGAACCCTAGTTTATAGTAATTAATTTCTTTATAAAAGCTCACATACTTTGTATTCGAAAATACAAGTAAATCATTGAACAATACATCGCTACAGCTACTTTGTGCGAGATATGAGAAAGCTAATTAAAAAAAATAGAAAAAAATTGAAGTGCAATTTCTGTCATGATAAACATATAAAACAGTATTGTGTCTCGCGCTCATACTCGTTTCAATTTCATTGGCCTTGCCAAGCTGTCGCAACAAAAGGCAATTAACTTTGTTACTTCGCTCCTCGTTGAAAGCTGCGCTTTCTCAATTTTCCCCTCACGGAGATTTCCGTTTAGCCGTTTGGGATGGCGACACTATTAAACTTACTTTTCTTCTACCCGAGAGCGGACTAGAACCTGTCGGTGAAAGGCGGATATTGGAATCGCGATATTTTCATTCGTAAAAGTTTGAAAGCGAATATATACCTTTACATAGAGAAAAGTCGTTCGTCCGTGAGGCGGCATGTTTTGAAAATGACGTGACGTGGCAAACAAACTTTGAGTTTTCGGATTAGCAAGATCGTTACCGCTAATATTCCACAAAATTTCGCACGCATTCGCGTACAGGGTTCATTCGTATTTGAAACTACACATGTACGTGCATGTTGCAATGTGTGACGAGGCTTTATACGCGTTGGAGTTGTTATCAGTCATGCCCATCTTTTTTTTTTACGCGTGACACAAATGGCTAGCAACACACGCAGCCATAAAACATTTTTAGTGCGCCAATGAAAATCTGTATCCGAAGTAAAAAATTTTCGCGCTGTTCTGCATCACAATAATATTTCGATTTCGCAATAAATCACGATTTAGGGTAACTTTGTTTTTGCTTCTCAATTCTTTTTTTTTTTTCTTTTTAGAAAATACCACAACCGCAAAGTCGTCAGAGATCTATAAAAGAGATCTATAAAAGATTTCTCATTTTGAAAATCAGGAAAAAGTGCTGAAAGAGCTCTTGTGCGGACGACACATAACGGTCGTAAATTGCGGTTTATGAGCTACGCTTCGACGTTCCTCTTTTGTTTTCGATTAACATTTTAAAATGCGCAACGCGCACATCGCCGCACAAATTGCCATCAGAAAGGATCAACCGGGAAGTCCGCCAAGCAGGCCAGGTCGATAAAGTTCGGCATAAAGACCGCGCATTTCCGGAGCACGTAAATTCGGTTCGGAGAGTCGTACACTCATTGCTAACATAATTGTATCGCGTTGCATGTACGTATGTCGTGTGTACGTTTACCTGAACACAATATTTGCGTTCTGTCGGTCTTTGAGAGAGAGCTGTACAATGGTCCTCATCCAAAGCATCGACCGCATGACGTCGTGCTTGAAACGCGAATAAACCCGTTCGCGATGCAGCTTCTAGAATTAATTCGTCTCTTGCCATAATGACTGTCGAGCGTGTTGCGCATTATTCATCAGGACCTCCGACTCGATCTGAAATTATTTTAGTCCGCTTACTTGGAGTAAAGCAAGCAAGCTTCGTTTTGAAAAAATTAGAACCTTTAGATTTTTCCTCTCTCTTTCTCTCTCTTTCTCTCTCTCTCTCTCTCTCTCTTCCTCCCTTGTACAGATTAAAATTTCTTGATAGATTTGTTGATCGATTGTATTATTATTAAAAACTTTGATAACAATTTAAAATTAAGATTTATTAATGTGAAGTTATAATCGATATTTTGTTTATAACAATAACGAATACAATCAATAAATAATGCAATTTTTCAATTTTTTATACGTGTCTTTAGTCTTAATTGCTTAAATTTATCTTAGTTCTTCAAAACTTATCCTATTAATCCTCTTGAGAGCCAAAAAGCAATTACTTTTATACCCACTAAACTATGTACTTCCTCTCGGACGTGAGATCTTAACAAGGCACTTTCAGCTTTAATTGAAATCATTTGTCATTGTTTATATGTGATTATATTTATTTATTCTTTGTTGATAAAATATTTTTTTCACATTTTTTTCTACATTCAAAAACGACGTAATGAAAGAAATAAATTGCATTTTTAACGTCTTGTCGCGCCTTGAAAGTTGGTCAAATAAAAATAGATTAATTAGCTGGAATTTATTAGATAATTAACCCATAATTGTAAATTAATTAATCGAGTTAAACAGTTATTTTTTCCGGCACTTGAAAAAATAAACTTCAAAAGGCATCACTCTCTGGCATTATTAAAAGTAAATTCAAGTTCGTTTGACGTCAGCGTATTCGATGAAATTCCTCGCTGCTTGTTTTGCGTAGTGTCATTTTACATCGCATTAACGGGAAAATAACAGAGGAGGGTAATGAAGAGAACGCCGGCGCAGATTTTCTTGCGATCGTTTTTCTCCACCACCTTAATGGAGGACGCCGGGCGCGCGAGCACGAGATTATTTGCGAAATACAGCTCCGGAGAGCAGGAATCTCGTTATGACGTTTCTCGAGTAACACTTCGTTACTTTTGTACAGTGGGTCTCGGTCACGTATTTTCATTCGTCTTTTATTTAATTATTCTCACCCTTTTCCTCATTTTCTTCCATCCGGCTCTCTTTTGATGATGCGAATCTGATCTTTCTCTTTCCGTCTGGTCTCTCTCTCTCTCTCTCTCTCTCTCTCTCTCTCTCGTCAGACGTTTATAAGCCATTATTATGCCAAGCGATTTACAAAGCTGTCACTCAAAACCAGTTGTGTAAAAACAAAAAGTTTTAAATGTTGTCCCGTGTTGATTAGCAAAATTAATTTTTTGCTTATAGAAAGATATAACACGATACAGTATTGATCTTTTCACACTTTTGTAGCTGTAGATACAATACGAGAATTGTCGGAATGTAAAAATTTGTATCCGATCAGGAACAAATCACAGCATTTTGCGCAGGGAGAAAATTATCTGACAATGCACGATAACTTCTTCCATCGAGATTTATTCCCTGTTAAACGGATTTATGGAACGACAGGAGCGAAACGCGAGCTTTCTCCGCACGGATTTTGTGCCCTTATCATGTCACGCCTCGTTACTATCTAGCAAAAGTGGATGAGCCGTAATCTCGTGCTGCAAGAAAACGGGGCTTGTGCCGTTTCGTTGCAGTCTCTTTGACGTTGCAGGTGTCATCGCGAACGAAGATAATACTAGGATATGCTGCATCTCCGCGGAAACTTGCTTATTTCTCTTCTCGCATTTCCAATGAGATTCACAGTGCTTGGCCTTGAATTCATGTGCCGAGACAGCATTTCTAACGTAAATTCGGATTATCCATTTAACAAGGAATATTTAACAGAAAATTTGAAGACAATAAACGAAAGATTGTACATTATGAATTTTAAAATCAAACATTTTAATCGCTCTTTTACGAATCCTTTATGAATGTTAATAAAATCTTATTACAAAATTGTTATTGAAATTAAATTTATAATTATTTATTATAATTTATTATATAATTAAATATTTATTGTAATTGATTATAATTTTATTATATTTTATTAAAGAATTGTAAGTATAAGTTTCTAAAAAAGATCTTTTTATTTTCCACATTCTCACATCAGTCACTCTTTGTTATTCTCATATACATTATACTTTATTTTATTACGTTACATAGAAAATTCTTGACTTATGAGAATATTAAACTATCCGATTGTGAATAGAAAGACAGAATCTTTACACACATTAAAAATTCTTAATATTTTTACTGAAATAACATTTCCTGTCTCTATATATTTATTTTCTCTGTATATATTAATTTTATTAAATATCTTGTTAGAAAATAAGAAAACAGAATTATGCTATACAATATATTGTATAGCAAAAGCAGAAATAAGAGAAATGATAATAAAAGAGATGAGATTGAGAATTATTAAGAACTATTAAGAATTTAGAAAATATATATGTATTATATAGATTATATAATAAAAATTATTATTTAATGACACTGTAAATACTTTTTAGTATTTACAGATTTCCACAGAAAATACTAAAACGGCTTCAGTCATTTCCCATAATTTCTAAGATGCTGAATCCAGTTTCCAAATTGTTCATCACGTCACATATCAAAGTTATAATATACTAAAGTATTTAAAAAATAGTCCTTTCTTACACTTTTAACTGCCAATTTCTCAAAATTGTGATATAATGGAGCAATTTGAAAACCGAATTTGTATTCAGCATTTAAAAAACTGTGAAATTATTTGTCTCGATCCTGTGTTTAAAAAAAAATTTTTGTTTATGAAACAATGTAATCAATACATAATAGAAGTCTCTATATTATAAGTTTCAAAAGCTTAAAGGTCAGAAAAGATTTCTTCAATTGGTCGCAGTTATCGTGAATGTTCACGAAAAGAGAAAATATTTCAAAATGATAGAAAGAGTTCTAAAACGATATCTAGAAAGTCTCATAGGTCGAGTTAAAAGGGAATCGTCGTTTACGGCTCTCATCGTTTGATGTTGCAGGTGTCATTACAGGCGGGGTGAGGCATCGTCTGAGCGGCGGTTCCGCGTCCGCCCTGAGCTACGGGGGCGAGAAGTACGGCAGAAGCGGAAGGTCCGGCGACGGTAGGACCGGTGGCGGTAGGGAGAAAGAGGATGACACCAAGAGTGCAGATAACGTATCCAGAGGGGTTTTACCCTCGAGGCAGAGCCTCTTGGACCTCGTCAGCGGTAAATTCATGGGCCGACACACACCCACTCACCACTACTACTATCAGCAGCAGCAGCAGGTTGGTTACCGCCCGCGATCGCGCGATAAAATATTCGTTTCACTGCCACACTCGCTGAAGAAACTCCCAAGCAGGACATTTTACGAGTGAACTCGCCGAAATTGAGCACTTCGATAGTCGTCAAATATTTCCTCGAATCTGATTTTGAATAGGTTTTCTATATATATATATA